CTTTTCAAAAAAATTGCAAAGATGCACAATTTGCAGCATTGCATTCTCTGACATTTTCTGAACCTTTGCAAATCGATTTATAATTTAAAAAGGTATTCTACGTGTAAACAAAAGAATGTACTTCAATTTAGTATAAGTTTTATCTAAATCTATTAACTTTTAGTATAAAAAATATTTACCAAACCTTTTCCAAAAAATTGCAAAGATGCACAATTTACAGCATTGCATTCTCTGACATTTCCTGAACTTCACATGCTAAATTAAATTAAACTTATGACTGTAATAAAAAGGATGTTATATTGACTTATGAACATAACTATCAAGTTGCTGAGGAAGTCTCAAATAGAGACGAAACGTTCAACGGATAAATATAGTGTTCATCTTAATTAAACCCGTCCAAAAAACAACTTCCCTAAGAGTAAACTTAGTAATAATATTGACTAATATTATATTATCTTGATGAAGCATTGATATTTGATTTTATGATTTATATAAATTATCTTTTCTCATTTTTACAGTATTGTTAGTTAATATTTTAGTAGTCATTTGTGTATTGATACACTAAAAAAAGCAATTAAGCAAATGTCTGTCTAACTAAGCCCCAAGCTTATTGAATAAATGATCTTATATATATTCATAAAGTTCATGTATAAAAATTACAGCAAATTTATTACTTTAGACTATATATTTTTTGATGATTCTTAATATGTATTAATGATTATGTGAATATATATTTATTAATTTGAATGTATATTGTATAATAAAATAATTACCTACTAACAGGCATAGTTATTGATAATCATAAAATCTATCAAATACTTTTAACATATTGAAGTATTTTTATTATATTTAGAAATATTTGTTTATATTTTAGAAAAAATTATAATTGATTATAATTGAAGAGTAAAGTTTTTATAAAAATTTAAAGATTAACAATAAAATTTATAATTGCATTATATTAGCCAAATATTTCTATATAACATTATTTTTATTAGAATTTTATATACAAAAAGTATTAAAATACATGAAATTTAGGGATTTATCTATTATCTATTACATTTAATACTGTTTGTCAGTGTATTTTAATAAATTGGCATGCTTAAGCTCTTCATATTCTCGTTTATCGAAATTCTATTTTTAAAAAATTAATACATGGACTATATTATTATTTAAAATTTATATTTTCATTTACTACTGTGCAAATAATAAGTCATAAGAAATGAAATACCTGGTAGACTAGAAACAATCCATTGCATTATATTTGTTCGGTGGAGATTCATGCATGGTATTTAATGAGTCATTGTATTAATATATTAAAACATTTTTTTGTAGAAAAACCCTCTAAAAAGTTTGAATGTAACGAATTTTTCCAGTCTATCTTGTATATATATAAGGCACATTAGTTCTTAATATTTAATTTTTATATCTAATTGATGAATGTTTATATATCTAATTATTTTATGATAGTCATTACAGTCTTAATTGGATTTATATATTATTAAATTATGCCTTTGTTAGATATCTATTAATACGTGATCATAATTTTTTATAGCATATAAAAATGTGATTAACATGACGCACATTGTAGGTTTTATTATAAACCTTATTTTCAGTTACTGTTTAAAATTGATACTTCAGGGCACATTAACAAAAACATTTTATAAATATTTTTTAAAGTCATTATCTAAATTTAAAAGCTCGTTTACGCACCAAAAGTACCAATTTTCAATCCATGCTTGGATACAGGTACATATGACCTGCTGTCTCAGTAAAAACTGAGAAGCGGAAGGTACTATTTTCATTAACAGCACATGATCAATAAACATTTTTTTTTTCAGGTATAGATACGTAGTTGTAAATATGTTTATAATATAAGAGATCAAACATTATACTATCTTAATTATATTTATATATATGTGTTTGCATCTGTGCAATTTTTACCTTCAAACTGTACAAAATTGTCTATTTATATGTGGTTATGATACTAATAAGTATTAGATTCTTGTTTTTAAAAAACGTCATGTAATAATACTTATCTTGATCATACCTTATTTGTACATTTTTGTACTTTTTCACTTAATAATAAATTTAAAATACTACCACACTTTTGTTTGATTCATAATTTTGATTCAACATTTATGGCAGCATTACTTTTATATTAGCTAAATATTTTGATTTTGAAAAAAATACTTTGTTAGATAACATTTTTTTATATATATATATTAAATTATTTAATTATACTATATTTTTTATCAAAATTGTGTCTGGCAACTTTGTCAATGTAAAGTTTTGGGGAAATAAGCAGAAGGCAAAATTTGTTTGTCCGACAGACCAGCTCTTCTTAACCCACCTTGTAATGCCACATTTGAACCTTTTGTTTTGGTTCCATTCGAAGATATGCATGGATTATTACTTTCTACAATAGCTGGTACAGATGACATACCTGGCATATTCCCTGGTAATTTATTTAGAGTATTAATGCGATCCATTGGTGTACTGGTACTAGAAATTTGTCCAGCCTTGTTAATAGAAGACAAACCCATTGTACTATCTCCTACTCCCATGGATCTGGCAGTTGTACGAGTAGTTTGATTAATATTTGGATTTTGAACTATTGGATTTTTTAATGGCAACCCTGATAATGTAGTAGGTGCTATAGTGCCAGGTGCAGGTGTTCGTGTTTCAAATCTATTTGCATATAATTTGTTTGATCTTGGTAAAGTTAATTGTACAGATGATGGAATAGTAACTGGAGCTGGAGTAGTAGTGCTCTGAAGTGGTGATTGATTGTCAGCTAAACGACGATTCAACCAATTGATTACTGTAATCAAATATACACAAATTTAATGAAATAGTAATAATGAATTATTGTAGAATATTATATTTATAAAAATAAAAAGAAAGTTACTATATACATTTACCATTATCGTTATTTTTGATTACTTTGTCTTTTTCTTCCAATTGATTTTGTAATACTTTTGCTTGTTCTTTTAAGAGTTCTATTTCTACTTTCGCCTCTTTAATATCTTTATTTACAATTTCCATTTTACTTTCCAATTGACCAACTTCCTTTTGTTTACTATCTAATAATCTTTCTTGTTCCAATGCTATACTTGTTCTCAGTTTTAATTTAGATTTAGTAGAAGCTAATTCATTTTGTAATTTTGTTAATATTTCATTAGCTTTTACTAACTCGTCGCTTAAACTTCTCAAAGAATTTTGTTTGCGTTGTAATTGGCCTTCCTTATCAGCTAAAAGTTCCTCCAATTGTTGTTTTTGTTCTTTCGCTGTTTTTAACATTTCCATATGTTTATTAATAATTACACCCTTATCTTTTAATTCTTGATCAAGTACAGCTACTTTCGTACGTAAACCATTAACGGCTTTATCTTTTTCGTGAAAATCTATATCTAATTTTGAATTTTGTTTCTTTAAAAGTGCTAATTCTTTTTGGGCAAGATTTAATTCTTTTTCAATATTCTGTAATTGTTTACTCTGCTCTTTGTTAGTGGCTTCAAGATATGACAATTTATCCTTATAACTCATATTTTGTGTACGCAATTCAGCAAGTTCAGCATGTAATTGTTTTAAAGTTTCTGTATGTCTAAGTTCTAACTCCATTTTGTCTTTGTCGCTTTGACGTTGCCATTCTAGCCTTGCCTGAGCAAATCTATTATATAAATTATCAATAATATACAATTTATAAAAAAAGTTTAATGTATATAAAATAGAAAACATGAAAATCAAATGAGAATTAAATATATCTACCTGTCCTTTTCGATACTTATTTGCTGAGTAGAATTAATTTGAATTTGACTTTTTTCTGCTAAATATCTTTGTTCTAATTGATCTAATTCTTTAGTTTTAGATTCAAATTTAATAGTCAAGTCATTCAATCGCGTTTCTAAACCAACTACATCTCTATTCTTTTGTAAAACATTTTCTTTTAATTGTTTTATTTTCATAGCCATATGAGTTCTCAAATCAAAATCGTTAGCAGGAGATATGAATAAACTTAAATGGCATAGATGTTTAAAATTATTAGTTTCAACCAGTTTGAATGTCCATTCTCCATTTTCTTCTGCTAATAGCAAAAGAAATTTGGGTGGTGCTTTTGACACATTGGAACCAGGTACATTGCATTGTTCTAATAAACATATTAATTGAGTTGCAAAATTGTCAAAGTCAACTAATAAACCTTGTTGAGCTTTCAGTACTTTAAAATCTTCCTCAGCAATAAACAAAGAATATAAAAAGCAAGGATCATCATCGTCTGACAATAAAACACATAAACTCTGAAATAAAATGATTGGCATTTGGTAATATTTGTAGGAATTTAAATCATTACCATGATTTATATAATAATAACAGTTTGATAACAAGTTGTCCTATACGAAAACATATTAATGTGGAAAAGAGTGTGTTAAGTATTAATATTTAATAAGTAGAATCTGTGTGGGAATTTTGACAAATAGTAAAAGGGTTATTTGTAGAAAATAAATGATACCTTACGACAAACAGGACTAAGACCAGCATGAGTTTCAACGTTCACCCTAAGTTCACGTTGTCTTTCTTCTTTATGTTGAGGTTTTATATAAACCTTTTGCACTTTAGTATACAGCACTTCGACATTGTTCAATTGGAGTCCAGAATCAGTACTCGTACCGCTGCCTCCTATACTGTTCAAATAATTCATCCTTCACCAGCACTATTGAAAAACATTTGTAAATCTCGAGTAATTGATTAATTTCAATGATAATATTAAATAATTCGAGTTTCGATTCATCTGTTTGAAAACTTTTAAATATCTTTAGATACAAGAGAACGAAGTTTCAAATTATACATCAAAAATCGACGCACGCGTAATACTGGTGGTGCCATCTAAACAACACGCGCCGTAACTATTCTTTTTCCCCCTCCACTTTCCTTCATCCCTCTTTTTTGTTTATCTTATTTAATTTTATTTTTTATTACATTTTATACTATTATTTATATATAATAATTTATATCACACTTATACGATACGACTAGTTAAGGAAATGTTCTATGTGGTTTAATATTTGTGTTGATAATTATGTGACAATATTACATTAATATGACAAGATTACATTGACAACATGTGTCAAAAAATTGAAAATATTATATTTGTAATGTATTTTATATATCACAATTATTTATATTATAATATGAATCATAAAATGTCAATTATGTTTAGTTTTATAATTTAGGCCACTGTGTTATAATTTAGTTGCATTTAGTTGCAATAAATGCAGTGATTAATTTTTTGTCTCTCCAGTCAGATTAATTTAGAAGTGATATTGTATTTTGATAGGTTTATGTTTTATTTGTATATTGTTATGTTGTATGTTGTATTCTTATTATTATGTGTAAGATTTTCATTTAGATAATTTCAAAGTAGTAATAATTTGTATAACGATTAATATATATTTTTATATTTTATTTATTTTCATTCTAATGTACAGTAATAATAACTGAACAATATTATGAACTTAATATTCATTAGTATTAAAGAAACATATTGATATACAGCATAATAATAAATTATGGTTAATAACATACATGTCACTTCTGGTAAGACGGGATAGTTTTTAATATAATTAGATATAAATTATTATCGTTATTAAGCTCGCTTTTTTTGGCCGTCAGTTGAATGAATTTTCGTGCGACCACCACAATCGCACGAAAATTGCTTGACGATATAAGTTTATTTTTATGTTGTAGTTTACGCTTTTTTTATTTATTTTTATTATTTTTTCTTCTCCTATTAGCGTTCCATAATATGCATATAGTAATTATATGTATTTAATAAAATAATTGATTGATCACAATTTAATATTTTTATAATTAACAATTTACCTTATTGATTGCCTAGTTTTTTCATTATAAGTTGCCTACTTTTTTCCTCGAAAGAATCCTACATTTTTCAGATATTAATTCATAATTATTTCCGTTTTACCTTCTATAATACATGCTATTATATTACTGAAAAATTTAAGATTCTCTTGAGAAATGTAGTATATATATATACAAATATTTTACTCAGGTTCATTCAAGCGTAGGCGTGCAAAGTCTTCAAAAACAATATTATCATCGTCATCGTTTGCATAGCAAGAATTTTCATAGCGAGCCCTATCGATGCTCTTGCTCTTTTTCATCATGGCCTTTTCTTTTTCAACAGATCCTTTGGCAGCAGACAAAAATAATAGATTTGAAAATTCATATAGTTAAAATTATAAATAAAGTCTATCTATATAATTGAAAAGTTTTTCTCTTTACCAGGAGTAGGATGCATTAATTTAAATGGAACATCCGTAATCAGTTCACCTCCCAAAGTGCCGCAGTTTAATTTTACTCTTACAGAATAAGAAATAACAATGCCCATTGCTTCCGCAGGGCATTTACCTTCTTGCACCATGGTTGAAGATGCAAGATTTACATCATCATCCTTATGATATATGAAAATTAAAGATCAGTAAATCGTTTCAATAAAAGATGTAATTTTATAACATTTATTATACTTGCAGTACCTTAAGGTGTCCATCAAGAGCAATACCACGGCGATCCTTGTTGCTGCTAGCCAAGGGTACAAGATAGAATTGTTTCGTGAAAGATGCACCAGGAGTAATTGGGCAACCTTCGCGAGTTTCTAAGCTAGCAACATGTCGTGAGAATTGAGCATTGACCATAGTAACTTCGCAGTGTTGCACCACAAAGAGCTGCAGCAGTCACAATGTTATATTTAATTATATTTCTTCATAAAGGAATTATTTTTAGCATATATTATGTGCATCAATATAATGTACCTTAATATTTTTCACTGCTTTTCTAGAATTATTTGTAATTATAACATTAGCTGCCACCTTTTCTCCGTGGTAGTAAATTTCCTTGTCGAGTGTAACTTCTAAATTAAGTTTGCCCTGAGAGAAAGTGAATCCTTTTGATACAAGAGAGCTCGGAAGTCTGCGTCCTCGTGTTGGTGGTGCATATTGCAGTTTCTTAATAGTCAATGCTACGGATGATCTCTTATGGCCCTATAAACGACATTAATATTGTTCTTTTTTTCTCTATATGAACTTTTATTAAGTTTAAGCTTTCCATTATTCCTTGCTCTTTTTGCTTAGATTACCTTGTCTTCTTCGTTTTCACCAACATAAATTTTAACAGTATAGTCAACACCCAATGGTTTGCCCTGATCGTCATCTCCAGGTTGAAGAGTAACGGAGCTTGGAGAGTTCTGAGGGAACTGGAAGATGAATGGATAGGCATTTGGTCCGAGACGTTTCAATAATCTTTCTTGAATTTCAGTCGTTTCCTGCTTTTCCTTTTTGAAAGGAACTATTTGATCTCGACAAAGAACCAATTCTTTGCTGAATTTGACACCCATTACTTCATCTTCCTCTCGACCAAAGCGGTAGGTTGTAGTTACCTTAATAATAATAGCGAGTATTTTGTTGTGAATTATTTTGTATATTGTATGAGAGGCAATTTTAGGAAATACATCTATTCATGCCAACCTGTCCGTAAACCTTTCGTCCCTGGAGGTAATCATTTTCCACGACAATGATGCCATCGATAGGATCCACATGATCTAGATGATCAATGAAATCTCGTTTGCCCAGGTAAACAGTGACCTTGCCTGTTAGTACATAGGTGTATGGTACTCATTATATTAGAAGAATAAATTTGTTAAACAGTTTTTTAATTTAGAAAAATGATTTCTTTGTAATGAATATAATTTTTTGCATTTATATATATGTGTTATAACACTTACCATTAGGCGTGGTCTTTTTGAATACCTTTATGGCTACGACGAAAGCCAAAAACAAGATAGGGAACATTTGGCACTTTTTTTCTACTCAAGCTGCTTAGTGAAGGTTTGTGTCCAAACCAGAAGTGACAATTCCAAACGCCTCGGTGGTGCCTTCATATACCCTTTACCAGGGGCTTCACAACTTGAAGCCATATTACTAATTACATTATTTCATTATATAATTTACTTAATAAGATTTATAATGCACATCTAGTTATAACTTTGTTACGTCTTTTGTATCATATTCAGTAATTCAGATGCTTTGCTGTTAGAAGAATGATGGTACATTAGTATCATAAGTGAAAGATTTGTCTCATATATTTTCTGTGCTATAATAGTTTTATTTTATAGTTTTTTATACGTGCTTCATAATAATGTGTTTTAATTGTAATAACATCTACGAATGATGACATTATTTCTCTCAATTTCATGATTAATAAATTTTTATATAGAACAATGAGAGGTTTTACAAAACCAGACTTAGTATCTCATATTACATTCTATTATAAGAATAGGAGATGGTATATAAAGAAAAATTTTTACAGGGAACAAAAAAAATTTTAAAGAATACTAAGAAATCTTTATTTCGTATTGTTATTATTATCGTCATCATTATTCACAATGGTTTGTACGATCTGACAATGTATGTATTGTTACAGCTCGTTATATTCTTATTACAAATAAAGAGTGTTTATACTAGATAAAGATATAGGCATATGTAAAAAGAAATTGACTACATATATTAAAGAAAAGATCATATTTTGATTTGAAATAGTATTTTAGCTATATAGTATCGCATAACCATTTCAATAATCAACCTTTTCATACATTTTAATAATGCTCCATTAAAATCGTACAATTTTACATAATAATTTTACATGATAATCTTAATGCTAACAAATATATATGTTTTGTTCACGTGGAACTCTTGTACATACTAAAAACAAAAAGAAGAAAAAAGAAAAAAGGCATACCAAACAAAAAAGAAGAAAATTCAAAATAACATTATAACATTTAATTTAAAAAAATTATATTTTTATCGAAACTCATTCGATTTTGTGAAGACAACAAAAGACATTTTAATACATTTCAATCTTCTCCTTGTACACTTTGCTTTGTATTAGCGATTTCCTTTAGTCATGGATAATATTACAATAATGACACATGATTTACAAATTTGTAGTATACAAGCATTAATTATTGCATTTCTTAAGGAAAATATCTGAGACGCTGTAGCATTATAACTGTACACTAACAAAGAACTATCACATGAATGTTCTAGGCTATTGTAAAGTACAGTACTTCAAGCCTCGTATAAGATATTAATTTCAACAGCATCAGCTCTTATATAAGAACATTCTCGCAATACAGTTCCCTGATACCACCATAACTTTATTTATGTGACAGTACAAATATTGTTAGTTCAATAGTATACATTGTAAATTTTTTTTTAAGTCTGGCTGTTATTCAGTGTGAGTCTACTAAACTTACTTTACTATATTCTTCTTCCTTCTTCAAGGTTTTTGTATTTTTTATTTTTTTTTGTATTTTATTTATTTTTTTATTTTTAAAGTAAACTATACTGGGTTTGTCTAAAGATAATTTTTCGAATGAGGTGGCACAGCGTATTCAGCTTAAACTTGAAGCAAAATTTGTTTCACACAGTACAAATCTATAAATGGATAAAGAACCTTTATTATAAATCAAATTATGAAGAGGTAAAGGAATTACATAAATTATAAATTTCGTATATCAGCATAATTAATTCTTATCTCTAAGAAAAAAACTAAAATTAAAAAAAACAAAAAATAATAAGGATTTATATAATAATTAAATAAAAAGTTTATAAGAGCAAATCTCACATAATATTCATCAAAGAAATGTGTCCTTATAAATAACAATCTTCTTTTAGGATAGATCTGAAATTGAACATTATATCAAATATACAGATATCAATTGTGAACAATAAACGCAATAAAAACAATTGTTACATACAACTTGGCGCAGCTGCAGATTCAAATCTTTTCTGTATCTGATCATAGGTGAATTTAACAAAAGCATCATACTGCTCTGAAAGCTTCATGTTTAAAATCTGATCATATTCCTCTCGAATTTGTGTTTCTTGTTCCTTAAGCATCCGCTCGCAAATCAAGCCAACCTAATAAAATTATTAACAATGGACAGAAACAATAAATACTATAAATAGTATGCAAGTAATATAGTAACGATATATTGTTCATTTTTAAGTAATATTAATAAAATATTGTATACTTTTTTTGTATACCTGTCTAAATGTAAAAAGAGGCTTTTCTTTTCCGCTATGAGTGTAAGAATTTGAAGCACAAGCAGATGGGCTTGACGGACTGGAAGGACTTTCCATATCTGAAGAATCTCCATTGTTTACTTGAGGATTAAAATATAATTGCTTGCGTCGGTGCAGTCTACGAATCTCTTCTCTGATATTGGCAGCCATTTTTTCTATTTAGAAGAAAATATACATTATCATTTTCTTTTCACTTATTGTTAGTGAATGTTTAATTAAACAGGTATTCATACACACACAAATTTGTGTTTGTTATATAGTGATGTAATCTTACAACGTTCGTGGGTATTTATTTATTTGTATGTATAAATATATATATATATATACACATATATTTTTATACTAGTTTGTTCAGATGTTCAACCAGATTGTCATATTTTTAATAATTAACGAAACTTTTTATTTGACTCGTAGTCAAATCCAATAAATAAAATTCAAAGCATTAAGTCCGTTAATTTTACTTATCCCATCATATGCGCGCATGCGCGTGAGCGTTAATTCCAGTAGCCACTGTCATATATAAAAAAATAAAATTCTATAAAAAAAAAATAAATAAAAGAACATATAAAAGTTCATATTATTATATATAAATTATTAGGGTATATATTTTACGAATGCTATTAAATTTCATATCGGACGAATGATCAATTCGACCTGCGAATAAAAACGATTAGGGAACAAAAAAAAAAAGAAATTAAGAATCATTAAAAAGTCTATTATCATACTAAAAACCGAGTATAATGTCTTACAAAGTAATGAGTTCGAAAGAAAATTACGAAAAAAAATTAAAAGAAAGGAAGATAAATTGAAAAAAATTGATCACGCATAGACGTTCTTCTGAAGAATCCTGTCCCCCACCCTTCTTTCTAGTAGTAGTATAGTTGTGGTGGTGGTGGTGGCGGCCATACAATAGAATAACAGGGAAGCATAGGACTTTTGAAATCATAATGAGAAAACATGTTACAACCACTCGTACTTGTTACCGTATCGTAAAGTAAGGTAGAAAAAAAAATGGCCGTAAGCTATAATAATTACCAGGAGTTAGTTTGTGAGTAACCTCGCCAAAGGGCGAGGGATTTTGCGGTCCCGGATTGTTCTGCGTCGATGTACCGGGCGAAACGCACATAGGGACGCATCTTCGTCGCTTGCTAGGACGACCATGACTGTGCACCGGGTCGAACTCCAAGGATCTCTTTAGAGTAGCGCAGGCCATTTCTTTCGTTCGGCCGTTTCTCGTGCGCGTCGACTGACACCCAGATTATACCGGATTAGCCCCCCTTCGGCTGACAACGAATACAATTGAAAAGACCGCACGATCACCGTTACCTGTACAACGCCCCAAAATATGATTCTAGCTTCTAACCCGTCTATTTTACTCAGCGCCGAATTAATTTTCGTCGATTTTTCAATATGAAATCTAGGTTGCACCAAAACAAACACTGCGGTGAAACAATATGGCTGGTCAGCACGACTCCTCGACTAAGAACGATCATGGAACGAGTGCTTCGAGCATCGACGCACCATCTTTGTTATTCGTAATGCTCGCATTCCAGGCACCCCTAAGTCCGATTCTCATGATGACTAAGGCATATTTAAGAAAATATAAGTGCGCCTTTAAGCTTGTAAAATACCTTCCATTGCCGAGTAAACACTTTCTGATTGGTTGGATCATGTCTATGGTCCGATTTCCATCGAGGTAATCTTACCTTTTTATTTATCAATTTTCTATGTTATTTATTTTGGTTTTTTTTTATATATTATTTTTTCTATTCTTATATTTAGTGAATTATTTTTGTAATCAGGTGTATATATGTACAAACAATTCAGAATATTTACGATTTAAAGTCAATAAGCAATATTCTCATTGAACTATTTGTTACATTTATTTCAATTTGTAGTACGAAAAAAAAGATTTATTTATAAATAAAAGGTGACAGAAAGTAATGAATTAAATACCTTAAGTCTATTATTATACTATTCCATTTTCTTAGAAATTTGAAAAATACTTTATAGAAATTCGGATTGCACAATTGCATTACATAATAGTTACAATTTATCATAGTCAGTGGTTTTCATACTTTTTGTTGTATGTTGCATTCTAGATGAATTCGACCAATGACTTGCAATTATGTAGTATATATATATATATATATATAGGGAATATTTATTAACCAACTCTGCAGTCAGTTGAAAGGATTAATGTCTGGTGTTCTATTCTCTGTTTACGATTTTTATTAAATTAATATACAACTAGTTTCTTACTTTCTATAGTACTTAGAAAATCAAAGAAAATATAATGTCAAGCCCAGTGATAATTTCTGCTGCTACCAGACATACAGCCACGGTAATTATCAATCATATGTGTATATATATATATAGTGGAATTTTTACTATCTGATGATCTAGCATTTAAAAGTTCTATTCATGCTCCACTATTAATACGTTTTATTATCTGAATACTATTTTTACACTGTATTGGTTGTGTCATTTACCATCAAAACAAATAATCGAGACATAGTATACCCTTTGTACATTTTCATTTTTATTTATATTACTAATTATTATTATATTATTTGTTCTAAATAAACGTTTAAAATCATGATACAAATTACTGTTCTACTATACCAAAAATATCTTCATCTGAACAGTTAGTTCAAACACTGGAGCTTTTATTTTATATATATTAATATATAAATTATTATTTTTTTCTGTGATTATATCTACTAACAATCATAGTGAAATGAATATTTAATTTATTACAGAGAGTACTCTGTGTTAAATTAATATATTTTTAAAGAATTTATAAAATGATAAATTTCGTAGAATAAATAGAAATATTATTGTTCCAGCTTATATTCTTCCATGGCTTAGGTGATACAGGGTAAGTTATTATTTAAGATTTATCTGTAATTTTATATATATTTAGTAAAAGTATTAAATAATAATAACTTTCTACTTTACAGAAATGGTTGGGCCAGTCCTATAGCAGCTATAAGACAATCTCATGTCAAAGTTATTTGTCCAACAGCGTATGTTACAATATTATACCAATATTAAATTAATATTAAAATGATTAAACGAGAAAATTTAACATTTATATATTATTTTTGTAGACCAACAATGCCAGTTACTCTTAATGCAGGCTTTAGAATGCCATCTTGGTAAGTAAATTTAATAAACATTATAAAGATGTATTTTAAATCGCCATATTTAAAAGGATAATATACAGAATGAATCAACTAACGTTGTTACCACCTGTATAATAATTTTATATAGTTAAGTAGCATTTAATTAACAGGTTCGATTTACGATCTCTGGATCCTACTGGTCCAGAAGATGAAGAGGGTATACGTAAAGCTGCGGAATATGTTCGTAGTTTAATTGCACAAGAAGTTGCTGCAGGTATATCAACAAAAAATATTGTCCTAGGAGGATTTAGTCAAGGCGGAGCTTTAGCTATGTATAGTGCACTTACACACCCAGAACCTTTAGCTGGTATAGTAGCTTTGTCAACTTGGCTTCCTTTACATCAAAAGTTTCCAGCAGTAAGTTTTATTTCAAATCTTAATAATATTTTACTAATTCTCTAATTTTGACTTTACTATTATTACTATGGTTGTTATTATTTTATTCCCTTGTAAGGAAGCATTAGCAAACAATAATACACCGTTATTACAATGTCATGGAGATTGCGATCCTATAGTGCCATATAAATGGGGTCAAATGACTGCATCGTTTCTTAAACAATTTATGTCACAGACAGAATTTAAAACATACAGGGGAATGATGCATACATCCTCTGAAGAGGTAACATATTTATTTTTCAGATATGTATAATTATTATTTCTTTTCTTTTTTTGTTTATTCTGTTTATATTCTTTTAAATTTCTAATTCCCATTTTTTTTCCTCTTTTCTTCTATTTTCATTTTATAGAAAACATGTTATTAATATATAATTTTACAACCATTTTTCCAGGAAATGCGAGATGTGAAAAAATTCCTTAGCACAGTCTTGAAGCCATAATAAATTACGTTAAGCACACTTACATTTTAAGAATGAGTCCGATTGATATATTGTTTAATCAATAATTAAATTGATTAATTTTGATTTATCTCTGGCGACAGAAAAAAGTAGATACAATTTATTTATTTTTAAAGGAAGTACAATCACTAAAACATTTCTTAGTGTATTATATTTATTCTTAAAATAATTAGAGTTTCAATTAGTCTCTTTACATTTTCGTTAACAAATATTATTGAAAAATTGAAATTTCAATTCCTTTTAACATGTTGTAGCTATTCAAATTGATTTGAAAATTTTTATTTAATTTCAGAATAACACTTGTATTGAATAATGCATTTTTTTAATATTATGTTATTAACATATAGTACACATTAATAATTTATCAGCTTTCTTCACTCTTTAATCTAAGCCAACTAAAGATTAAAAAAAAAAGGAATGCAGAAGTGGCTTTTATAGGTATTATTAAAAATAATAAATTGTAGAACCAAAAATTATGAGTACTTTAGATCTAGAATTATTTATTATTAGTGTACAGAGTATCAAAGAAAGGAATTAAAAACTGTATTTATCAGTTGTCTTTATAATCTCCGATCTCAAAAAGCACTTAAGTTATAGTTTTCAGGACAGATATTTTAAATATTTTTATTATTACACTATATTACTCCAAAATAAAGCTTCCATATTTTTTTTTCTGTTCGTTATTAGGTAAAGTACTTCCATTGAGTTAATTTTATTTTAGAATTGTAAGTCATATAATATCTTTGCGTATGTACTATCTATTTATATAGAATGCATAATAAGATAATTAGGAATATTTATGATTGCATTTATGTCTGGGTAATTATACTTGAAAGTTATTTGGTCATTAAACTGAAAATAATTATTAGTTGAAATAAAATTAATACCTTAAGTCTCTTACATATTCTTATTATCAATTATTATACACAATATGAAATATAAAAGTTTATTATTAGGCTAAACTTGGATTTAATTTCAAACTATATTTATAAACAATGACCGAATTAAATGGACATTGGATAATTTATATTACCTATGCGCAACACAAATTTCTTACAAGATAAAAGTTAATTATTTGAAGAGACATTTTTTTAACATATTACAACATATTATCTATCATTATACTTGTTACGATATTAGTAATAATGTCATGCAGAACATAAGTGTTAACAAATTGTTTTGCATTGTTATGCAAGACGATGTCTTAAAAAATATTACTGTTGTTGATTATTTTTCAAAAACAAATGCTCGATTTATACATATCTTTTTCTTTTCCCAGGGTCACTTGATATGAATATAAAATTGTAATAATTAACACTTATTGATAAGCAAAAGAATCACTAATTTAAATATAGCTCGATAGCAGAATATCTTTTCCGAAAAAGTAAGATAATTTGTTCTGCATATTTATTTATTTATTTTTTTTTGCTTATTTATTTTAATTTTGATACCAGGACCTTTTTTTTTATAATATTTCCTAAACTGTACTGGTTACATTTAAAAACTAACTAGGTCAAAAACCTTACATTGTATTGGTTGGTTAGGTATAATAAACACGTTTTCATAACCTAAAATATTTTGGAAGTGATATAAAAAAAGAAGCATTAATCTTCTGAAAATAAAATAATAAGAATATTATCAAATTATTCAATACGTATATTTGTAATTATACATATACGTAACTCTTCTAATAATAAATATAATACTATAAATATAAAAGAGATATTTATAAAGAGATTATTTTGTATAATTATAATACAAGGTAAGAGGTTGCTGCACTTTATGAGTTGAGTATATCATATCATATATTTGTATTAAAATCTTATAGATTTATTTTTATATTTTGTTAAGAAATATGTGCGAAGAGGAATGGAAGCAGAGCTTAAAAGAACGAGCAGAAAGAACGCTTCTTGTTCGTTATACACGTAAAATAAAAGACATTGAGGAAGTAACAGATTTATTTAGAGGTGATTTTATTATTAAATTACCACGACAATCTAGTAAAAGTTTCCATGTAGAATTTACTACCGTTAAAGAAGCATTAGAAAATAAAAGAAATCTTAAAGGTAAAATTGCACATGGGAAAACTATAGTTGTTCGAAGAGCTTTGTTGAATACACTACAAGGTAAAGAAGTTAAAAAGAAAGGGAAAAAAGTTAAAATACCTTCTGTGGAGCCAGATGAAAAATTGTCACGAACGTAAGTATTTTAATCAATTTTTTATTCAAATCTATCTAATCTCTGATATTATGATCAAAGTATTTAACTTCACTATTAGAATTTTTTAAAATATTGTTGCTAAAGCGCTTGATTCAGATGCTTAATTATATATATTTAAAATAAATTATGGCTCATATGTAAATATTTATTTTGCTTTAATATCTCTATTTAATTATGAAACAGATTATATGTTACAAATCTAAAATCTTCTGTAAAGATTGAGGAGATAAAAGATGTTTTACCAGGATGTGTATCTGTTACTTTGTTAAAACCATATAAAAATAATTTAAGGTAATATTAATCAAGAATTAAGTATATTCCAATTTATGAAATTATTTTTGCTTTATATTATCAATTGTAAGAAAAATATTCACATTTTTTATATTATAATTGTGTTTTTATTCAGGAGTGCGATAGTCAAGATGCAAAGTATACAACTTACAGCGGAATATTTACTTAAAAAACGTGAATGGCCATGTTTACATGGAAACAGATTAATACTGAAGGCACATAATCGAATAAACCATAAGATAAAATCATCTTTTGGAAATGATACAAATAATTTAACAAATAAAACTTCTTCATTGGAGACAGAAGGCAGTGCTGCTTAGTCATATTAAAAAGTAATGATATTAATAATTATATCAATTGTGTATAATATTTTTATTGTTTGTCAGCACTTTTTTTATTTTATAAAAAGTATTATAAATAGTCATAAATGATAATATAATACTGTGCTTCATATATTTTAGTTATGAAGAAATAAATTATACAATTATTTTTCTTTCCTTTTTTTTTTTTTCGTCTAATTAAATCAGTTATAATTCTTGTTCATATTACTATTCGAATTTAGACTTTCCGTTTGGAATTTTAATTTATAAAAAAAGTGAACAGAAAAAAAATAAAATATTTCAACGAGTGAGATGAAACTACATCCTAAAAATAAACTAAAGACACCACCTAGGGAAGCTGCAAAATGAATAAGTTTGAAATGAATTATTTTGTGATTGAGTAATCAAACAACTTTGGTATAAAATACGCACAGATAAGATTAATCCATGAAAGTACTAATTCTCTTCGTTGCAACATAGCCGAATGTCTGGCAAACGTAACGTGAAGTATTGTTGCATTTGAAATTCGTGCAGCGGCTTCACTGATAATTCGAAAAAAAATTGCATCATTTAAAAATTAATAAATATCAATATCTGTTGAACGATCTCATGGTTTTTTACATCTATATATAATATATAATAAATACACTTATTAAAATTTTATAATTTTAGGCAATATATACACATATAAAATTATATTTAAAGTAATTTATATATAAAATTTGATATATATACTTACTAAAATTTTCCTGGAGAGTATTGAATAGCAGACATTGGCAATTTAGTAACCGCAACTTTGTACGATATACTTTCGCAATCAGGAAGGCAATCACATTCTGAATCTTGCAATGTTAATGCAAATGTTTGTAACGTAATACGGGCGAGACATGAAATATGTGTCAAATTACAAATTTTTAAGTTAGTATCTGTTTCCAAGACTGACGCTGGAAAGGGTATGCAACCGCAAAGTTTGCGCGTTATTGTTTCACGGCAATGAGTATAACAATTATCAGCGCGATAACGATGATTTTTCTGGGATGACCAAGCCATGTAACATCCTCTAACAGTGGTCGGTAAATTTAAAATTTCAGAGCTGCTACTCAAAGCAGTAGGATACAGTTTAGCTATAATCTCTTGGCCAGAAGCAGCGATAAATTGAAAAGCAGTAGACCCTGGGTACGTATATTTTTCGTGTATTAATATTTTCATACCATCTCCGTTTATTATAGACGATATACGGTCACGCGGTGGTAATGGTTTCATGAGAAAAGACATAATATAACGTGACCCAAAATTAGGGCTGTAGTTTGGCATAGATTCTTCTTTCGACCTGTAGGAATTATATAAATCTTCGAGGATTTTAAAGGAAGATCATTTTGACGAGTTACGTTTTATAATTAATATTTAAAAATCATCTACTCGAAATAATTATCTACATATCTATTCGTATTCTAGGAACGATTGCGTGACATAATACGTATAAGAAAGAGCAAACTTCATATCTTAAAAAGAAAAAAAAAAAGAAAGAAAAGAAGAAAAAACTGTCTTGACGTGAATAAGTGAGTTTGTTAGCTGATCGATCGAAGAGTCTTACGGTCAAGGTGAACATTTTATAGCTTTTCCTTTACATTTACTATTAGTAATACTATCCGATTGCAATGGAAACGTTTCTCTCGTTAAAAATTGAATTTATTACGATTAATAAATATATTACCTCTCTATATTTTTCCGTGGATCTTCGTAATTGAATGCGCAACATACTCCGTAACGTGTGATTATACGATTCAGCATTTTATCGCATGGTATAAATATTCCATTAAGTCGACACATCATCAAAAAATCTGTACAGTTTGGACTAATGTTTTCGAATAATTCGGACAACGATAATTGATTTGCCGTAAGGATTTGTTGTAATTTATCTAATTCTTCTGGATAATGATTTTTGGGATAAATCGCTTCGCGTAAGTATCTTACACTATGTTCAAAATCATTTCGTGTTAAACCTCGAGGGATATATCTGAGAAACATGAATTTTAATGTAATAATATTAAATCGATTGCATTTTAAATCTAAAATAGATTGTTTAGAGGAATACATTTGTTCTTGCGATGATAAGTAAGAAAGCACTTTTTGCATCGCGGCAATATTTCCGTGGCAAAGAGTAACGGCTGGTAATGGAATGATATTAGTTGGAACCTGAGGGCTGATTATCAAAGTACTCATATTTGCTAACTGATGACGACTGTAGAATAACAGTGCTAACTTTGCCGATGCCAAGAAAGATAATATTACGATGATGATCCATAATATCCTACAATAGTGATCGTACGAATTAGATAATTTAAATGGAATAAATATACTGAAGAAGAGACAAAAAAGAAGAAGAAGAAGAAGAAAATTTATACGATTACCTTAAACTAATTGACTTGGCATGAGTTGTATGTTTTATTCCATGTATCGTAGATTCGATCGAGAATTCGTTGTACACTTCGATCAAAGTATGCCATATTTTCTTAATCGTATTCGCAAGCATATTCTTATTATTTATCTAAGAAATTTTTATTCTCTTTCCGAGACTCGTGGAAAACGCGTTCGAACTTAAATTCTCATTTCAAGTTTATGCACCATTGGCATATTCAAGTTCGATCAATGATACCTCGGTTTCATTGTAATTTCGATCAATCTAGGCCCCTTTATCACGATTCGACATCAATTTGAAACGTGTCAGGCCATGCATTATTGATGCCGATATAACGTCATAACGTATTTATTCTTTATCGTACAAAATATATCTCAAGGAATTGACAATGTCTCTACCTGAGAATTTTTTATTAATAATTTTTATACCTTATTCATTGATTTTTTTCGTTTTATTTACGATACAACTTAATTCTATTGTTGTGATTTATTGTTAATTTTTAAGCACATTATTGCAATTAACATAAATAATGTGCGTTTATGTTTTTTTTTTTTAAATTATTTTTGTTGTTTTGAATTTTGGAATTAGAATGTTTTTTCAAATTATTATCCCTGTCGGTAACGTAGTGACAATTGCTTATAAAACGTTTCTTAGTGTTTCCGATAGATGGCAGAACAAAAAATTCGATGAATCGCCAAACTGCTCTGATGGTAACACATCCTGTAAAGTATATAACCGATTAGGCAATTTACTAGTCTGATTGTCTAAACGTCATTGCATTATTCGCGATGCACCCGAAGCGATTTATTATTTAATGCATCGCGTGCAATGATCTCTTGCAATTGGAGGCGTTTTCAATTCGATATAATGCGTTTGTGTCGATCTCAAAGGAAAACGTTAAGAAGCGTAAAATAACCGGCGAGTTATTTCAATTTCTTCGGGTTCGCGACTAACCTATAAATACTCTTAAAATATCATTATACGATATTGACAATATATTGCTCTTAGAACGAATAAAAATCATGATACCCTTGGTCAGTATTTTTTTTTCTTGCAATTTTACATCGGCTAAATCGAGTGTGATAAATGGAGTGTGACCTTCGGAGCGTTCCGGTATTATAGGTTAACGACTATTAAAAAACGTTAATTGACCGTTTACAAACTATCATTATCTTGGACATTTTATAAATCACTATGTAATACGTAAATGTGAAATCAAAGTCATTGTCACTAATGTAACGATTCATATTTTGTCATGTGTTACGCGATTGTTCAGCCCACCGAGATGTACGTTCTTTTAATTAATCTCGAGGATTTCCTTTGCATAAGCAGTAAGGTAATGATTAATTATACCTTTTGTTTTTCTTTGTTATATCCGTTAAATCCGCATTATTTCATTGTCGAGCGTTTAAAATTTGTCTTTTCCTTTTGCAGGTTCTCTTAATCTTCAATATCATATAAAATTATTTATATGATCTACTTTAATGTGCACTGTTGTAAACTTAAGTTACATTCTAATGACATTTATTAATGTTACTATTGTGTAGTAATTTTTGAAAAATGATTTATTATATTTTGTTTTTTACAGATACCTTTGGCAATGGGAGTATATTCGTTTCAATGTAATTGTTTAAATATATGAAAATAACACTGCAGATACAAGCAATATGTTGTAAACTATTTGTAATCAAGTCCAAGGATATGGCATTTAACAAATAATGTTTGGAACTTATACGTATGATCGTATAACTTGATTGCATTAAACATGCAAGCCAAGAAACGTTATTTACTATTATTTGTGACATGCGCGTTTCTTGGTTACTGTTATTTCGGTGGTTATCGCTTAAAAAGTGAAAAATGGACAGGCAGATCTCGGTTGCCTTACGAGCAATTGCCTTCGTATTTAAGTCTGAATGAAGAATTCTACGACAAAGATTTGAGAATATCAAATAGAAACTTACCTGTATCGCAACGTGCAAGGAAGTGCCGTATGGAAACTTGCTTCGATTTCACAAAGTGCAAGCAAGGTTTTACAGTTTATGTGTATCCAATTGAAGATATTATAAGTCCATTATACCAAAAAATACTAAATGTTATAACAGAGTCAAGATATTATACATCTGATCCAACAAGAGCGTGTATATTTGTTCTGGCCTTGGACACATTAGATAGGGATCCATTATCAAGTGAATTTGTGCATAATCTTCCTTCCAAACTATTACGTTTACAATATTGGAATAATGGAAGGAATCATTTAATATTCAATTTGTATTCTGGTACATGGCCAGATTATGCAGAGGAATCTCTTGCATTTGATTTAGGATACGCTATGCTTGCTAAAGCAAGTATGTCCATATTTAGACTTAGACCAAATTTTGATGTATCTATACCGCTATTTGGAAAACAACACCCTGAACGTGGTGGGGAACCTGGTCAAGCATTAGAAAATAATTTTCCTAGTAATAAAAAATATGTGGCAGCTTTTAAGGGTAAAAGATATGTACATGGTATTGGCTCGGAAACTAGAAATGCTCTTTACCATTTACATAATGGTAAAGATTTGGTATTTGTAACGACTTGTCGTCATGGTAAAGCTTGGAGAGAATTACAAGATGAACACTGTCAACAAGATAATCAAGAATATGATACGTGAGTGTGATAGATCAAATACATTTATTACAAATCTTCAATTTTAAATATATATCTATATTGAATATATAAATGATTTTATATTTTCTAGATACGATTATGAGATTTTATTAATGAACTCTACATTTTGTCTTGTCCCACGTGGACGAAGGCTCGGTAGCTTCCGATTTTTAGAGGCTTTAAGAGCAGGTTGTATACCAGTTATTTTAAGTAATGGATGGGCATTGCCTTTTCATGAACGTATAGATTGGACTCAGGCTGTTATATTTTCCGACGAACGATTGTTGCTTCAAGTAAATATTTTCAATTGAGAGAAAAACATTCGTTGAATTAAAAATAAATTAATATATATGTATGTATGTATATATATATATATATATATGTTTCCATAGATTCCAGATATAGTACGTTCTGTATCGAATATGCAGATTCTTAAGTTACGACAGCAAACACAATTTTTATGGGAGCGATATTTTTCATCTATAGAAAAGATTATATTTACGGTATTCGAGGTAAGGATTTTTATTATATCACAATTTTTAATCTCTAATATATATTTTTAACATGTTTTATATCATATTATATTTATATTATAGAATATTCGTGAACGTTTACCATGGGAAGGCACAAGAGAAGGGATTATTTGGAATACTAGTCCTGGAGCTCTAGCAATATTACCACAATTTGCAGATAGTCAACAAGAACTTCCATTCTCAAACAGCAATCCTGGTAATACTTTCACTGCCATCATATATTCTCAATTGGGATCTACTGCTGTTCTTTATCGTCTGCTTAAAAGTCTCGCGAAAAGTAAATACTTAGATAAGGTCAGTATCAAGTAAACAACATCAATTGTTTTAATTTCATATTAATATATATTCATACAAATAAATTCATTTTTCTAATAAGATTATTCTAATGTGGAATTCGGACATTCCACTTCCAAGAAGACCACGTTGGCAAGGGATCAAAGCATCAATAAGTATAGTTTCTGTGGATGGTATATCCCAACGTTTTTATCCGCATCCATTAATCAAAACCAGTGCCATATTGTCGCTAGATGAAGATGCCACTCTGAATACTGACGAAATAGATTTTGCTTTTATGGTTTGGCGTTCATTTCCCGATCGAATAATAGGCTATCCAGCAAGATCACATTATTGGGATGATTCAAAGGTAGACATCTTTTCAATTATTTTTCATGTCTTTTATCAATTATGTTAGAATAGATTTTATTAATATGTATTTAATTAAATTGAAAGCGATCATGGGGTTATACGAGTAAATGGACAAACGATTACAGTATCATTCTAACTGGTGCTGCTTTTTATCATCGTTATTATAACACATTGTATACTGAATTATTAAGTTCGACTCTCCATAAGACCGTGGAACAGTCGCAGAATTGCGAAGATATTTTAATGAATTTCTTGGTGAGTCATGTTACTCGAAGACCACCTATCAAAGTAACTCAAAGGAAATTGTATAAAGATACTATGGTTGCTGGAATTAGGTAAATATTTTGTATTTTTATGTATATTAAAGTGTATGTGTATCATTCGGTTTATTCAAGAAATCATTTGGTAATACGTGAATATATATTTGATCTAGTCGTGTTATAATTATTTGATATAATTGTTATATCGAATATCTCTGTGAATGTGAATTATTTTTTAAAAATCAGATCACCGTGGAACGATCCTGATCATTTTATACAACGGCAAACGTGCATGAATACATTCGTAGCTGTTTTTGGATATATGCCATTATTACGATCCAACATGAGACTTGATCCAGTCCTGTTCAAAGATTCTGTAAGCAACATGCGTAAGAAGTATAGACAAATTGAATTAGTTAGTAATTAGAATTATATACGAGATTCGATTAATTATGTAATTATTTCATTCTTATAATATGCGTCGAGAAAGTATTATAATATTGCAGCCAGGAATCAATCGCAATGCAATGTTTAGCAATAACATTCGATCAAAACAGGGCATCAATCGATCGTTCCTTATTCAGAATCTGTTTAAAAAAAAAAGAACCCATTTTCCTGCTATTGCAAATAAGAAGCCATTAATTATATCCGTGAACATACAGGGAAAATTTAAAAAAATCATCATAAGTCTTTGTGTTACATATCTATGTGTTGTGTTGGGCAAACAATCAAATAACGTTTTCATTCTTTTTAGAATGAAAAAACGTTACGTTGTGATTTGTCTTCTTTTCTTTTTTTTTTTTTTTTAAAAAAAAAGAACACATTTTTAAATGAATTCAATATTCCGTAATGATACAGTGTTAATATTCGATCTGGTGGTGGGATATCTCGTCCTACTGCAATACTGCACTTTTTTTTATGTACATATAACATATATAAGTCGTATCGTAATCGTTAATAAACAAACGATCTGTCTAATATTTTTATTCTTGAACAAGAAAAACAAGAAAAAGAAACCAGTCTTCGAGATCAATAGAAATACTCGATTATCTTAATATTGTTTAAAAAGCTTTGTTTCGAAAATAATGAAAGAAAAGAAAAGTGTGAGGTATTTATCAACGATTCTTGATCTATCAATCTCGTTTAAGTTGTGAATTTTACGATTGGTGGTATAATACATTGAGAAATAAAAATATTAATCGTACAATTAGAGTATACGAAAGGAAAATGATTTGTATTTTGTACATTATTAATTGTAATACAATATATAAATCTTTTTCTTTTCGCATACTAACTGTACGAATAATTTTTTTTATACTTCAACTGTATATGCACGTCGTTATTAAAAAAAAACGTTAACAGTATTTAATCACATTTAAAAGAGCATGGAATTTATTTATAATTTTTCTGTTAACGATTAAAATGAAAAACAACGCTTTTCTTTCCTTTTATATATATATATATTAGTTTGTTATATGAATGTATATGTCGAGCTGGTTTGTTTCTACGATACTCTTACAAAAACTTTTCAATGTGCGATCATCGTTGTTTTTTTACGTTTAATCGTATATTTCTAATTATACTTAACAACAAAAATAATGGAAAAGAAAAAAAAGCAGCGAAGAAGAAATTCACAGGACAATTTCGAAAATGATATTTGGTAATAATGTTTGCAATCACGTCTAGTCGTTTAAACACCCGATTCAATCAATCAACGAGAGAACAAAAAGGGGAACGGTATATAATTATGTGGTACAATAAATAATAAAAGATCATTGATCAAAACAATTGAAGAATTTTGTACAGTTTGCTGGGAAAAATGGAATCGGATTTCTACAAGATGTGTTCATGATTATCGCGCGTGATATATCGATATATTATACAAACTTGGTTTCTTTAAGTAGGATTTTCTATGTAAACTGTTACCCGTAACAAAAATAATATTAGTGCTTTTATATGGTTGAAAGAAATAAACTTTTTTTACATGGAAAAATACAAACAAGCATACAACACCTTTTTTTAATTAGTCATATTTCATGAAAAAATATGATCAAAAGAAATTGGGGAGGTGTGGGGGGTTAGTCACATTAGTTGGAGTATCCCATTTTATTCCTTTGAATAATATTTTTAATAAGCAAACATTATTTTTCTTGAGCAAGGTCATTTCGGGGTTGGACAAGGCATCAATTGAGGTGAGGTGAAGTGAATTGAGTTGAAGTTGGAAAGGTGGTGGTGGTTCTCTTTGTAGGGGGCCCATGATACTGAAGTGGGGCCTCCCTATACGGGCCCCCAACACTCCCTTCTTTCTTACCGCTTTGCTAGAAAGGTGACTATGCCAAGAAGACAGGAGGTATCGAGCACGCCTCAAGTATATCCAGTCACCTTTCTCTCTTCGTGACCGTAGCATATGTTTTGCGTGTTGTCGATGGCGCTCTCGCGGTTTTGAAAACGGCGCTATCATTAACGCTAAATAATATCTACCCACCATCGTTTATTTACCCCGTGTAAGCTCAAAATTATCATCCCGTTTATTTCTATACAACCCCTTACCCCAACCCCACGTTCCTATACGAAAAGAATTTTCTTTTTATTTAATTAAAAAATAATAAAAATAAAAAAGCGTTTCGAGTTTGTATTTTTAATCGTAAATTTTAATATATATATATATATATATATATATATATACATACATACATATATATTAATTTATTTTTAATTCAACGAATGTTTTTCTCTCAATTGAAAATATTTACTTGAAGNTTGGTAACTCTAGTAACAGGAAAAAACAGCGTCCACCTTATCGTTGATTTTCTTTTCTATTTTTATTTCTTTTCCATCCATTTTCTATTATTATTATTATTTTATTCCTTCTCTTCCTTTATCATTTCTTTTTTTTTTTTTTGAATTCGTTGTTCTCTCTCTTCCTCTTTTTTTTGTAAGAGAAAATTTATTTAAATATAATAATCTGTTCTCGCGTGTGTGTGTACGCTCGCGCACCTATATACGAATTAAGAACGCTGATTTTTATTCGTTATTTAAATATATATATATGTAGACGTGATATTTCAATTTTGTCTCTATTTTATCGTTCGCGACTTGACAGATATTATAATAGAGAATTTTCATTATAACGTTTTTGAAAAAAAAACAATATTCGGGAAGATGATACTCTTCAGTGGTCTCTTCTTCTTCCTGGCTGTATTCTCAAGAGTTGGTAAGTTATTTTAATTTATTAATTAAAAAACATTACCGTACGTACAAAAATAATTGTTTTACTCATTTTTTCTTATCCGATTAATTTATAGTATTTCTTTTTTTTTGTGTTGATGATAAAATACAACAACTTATCATTTAGTAAAGGAAAGTAAAGATCTTTTAACAATTTTCCATGTAATTTATTTTAAATCGTTTTGTTTTGTTATTTTTTAACGGTACGCTAAACTCGTGTTAGGTAAAATTATGCTAAGAAGAACACGTTAAGAGAAACTTTTGGTCAAACACTTTAGTCGTACGTGTGTTCTCCAATTATTTTCTTTAAAATATATTGCACAAAGAAAATAAAAAAAGGATTAAAATGAATAACAGTATGGTAAATAAATCTAATAAATGTAAGAAATAAAAAGAAAAAAAGGGGTATGGAAATTAAGGGGTTACATGGGTTTGGTACTTTCAAAAAAATTTTTTTTTTAAATTCTACAACTCATCTAGAATATTGTATTGAATTTTGAAGTCGATAAGAGTAGTAGTTTTAAAGATAGAGCCCTGGGAAGTTGCACTCTTTAATGGCTCTTATACCAGCACTCAAATCTTTAAACGCATTTTCTAAAGACAGTTGTCAAGATTTTTCGAAAACTATTTAACCGATTTTCATGAAATCTGCTACACGTCTTCGTGATACTATTGACAAGGACTTGGACGAAGGATTTTCCTTTTTTTTCATAAAATCGAATTTTAAGAAAGCAAAATGTGGTGCAAATTGTAACGAAATTTGAATGTTCTTGCTAAAAACGTTGCCAAAAATCCAAATTTGAATTTTTTTCTTTTTCCTTCGTCCAGTTTCTAGTTTGAAGTATTCACTAAAAGACCTTATTTTTTCAACAGAAAAACCCCCACCGTTTATAAGTTCTGCTGTCAACGCGAAAACACTTTTTTTTCGGTGGGGTCACCGGAAATGACGTCTCAATGGCTGAGTTTAAAATATTTTTCAATCAAAAATTCAGAAAATCTTCTTTAAATATGTATCTTAAATACTATAAAAAGTTTGAATAAGAATTCCATTTTTTATATAGAAAAAAAAAATTGTTGAAAATATGCAATTTTTTCCCGGTGTAAACGCATGTAACCCCTTAAGAAATAAAAAAAAATCATTTCATCGTTAAATATAATGATGACGATTAGAAAATTCAAGGCGGTGAACTCGAAAGGGTATAGCTAGCAATTGAGAAAGCACGTATAGTAATCTAGTAACTGACTATTACTATTTCTTACCCTGTAAAGAACTATTAAACTATAGTTTATAAACGCTATAGACTAGTCGATTCGATCTTTCACTGGTTCGCGTTTTACACGTGAAAATGTCAGTTTACGTAATGACCGCGCCGTTGAGTATCTGGCACACGCGGAAATCAAGCATGGCAACAAATCGAATACTTAATCCCCGAGGGTAACCCCGAGGGTAACCCCGAGGGGTTGATTTTTAAAAAATTCTAAACAACAATGCTCGAAAGATTTTTCTTTTCTATTTTTCATCTTTGTCCAATTTTTTTAATTTCTATATTGATATTGTTTGTTATTTCGAAATGTTTACACAATGATCCTTAAAACAATTTATAAAATATGATTCACGAAGTGGAGGGAAAGAATTTGAAATGATTACAAGTAAGTTTAACAAATTATGTGAAAATTTAAAAATATTCTTCTGCTATTCCTTTTGTTCTAAAAAAAAAAAAAACAATTAACTGAAGTATATTTTGTAGATTGAAATCCTTTGGGTATTCTATAGAATGTTCTACTAAATCGTAATAAAAAATACGAATCGTTTATTTTGATAATAATCTAAATATATTTTTTTCATTGAATTATATTTTATACGACACACTTAATCTTCCAACTTGTGTAAATGTACATTTATATATTTAAAATAATAAAATAAAAACTAATCTTGTTAGAAAAAAAAAAAAATATATATATACATACATACATATATATTAATTTA